TTGTGCAGTGAATTGTGCCTACAGTTTTGCAAAGTGTGTGTTACAAAATTGCAAACTGAGTGCAAAGCAGTGTTTGTGCTTTTAGTTTTGCAAACTCAGTGAGTGGTTTTGCTCTACGTATTAATAGTTTTAGAAATTGTGCAACAAGAATCACGATTAGCGCTTAAGCATTCAGAAAAAACTGTAAACAAGTGTGCCTGTCAGCTGTAGTAGTGCCTTTCCACTCTTCACAACCACTCAAGGTTTTTTTACACTACATCACATTCACTAATTTGCACACATTGGTGGAGCAGCCACCAGAGGCAATTGGGCCGAAGGACCCTTCGACATGAAGCCTGGAGGAGCTGGAGATTGTTGCCCACCCACTCTATCTACTGAGCCACAGCTGCCTGTGTGTCACATTAGAGTAACATGGAGGAGCAAGAGCTATACGTTCCTCCAAATTCCTCCAAATTACATATTTGGAGACACAAACTCACCTGAAGCGGTGACATGGTGTGAGCTTAGTGACGTCTGCACCCCGTCGGATTTCGTTCTAGCTAGCCTGACTGGTGAGCAAATTATTGCAGCTTCCTAAAACTGTTAATGGCGAAATATGTGAGGTGGAAGTGTAACTGGAGACAGAAAAAAGGAAAGAGGGACTTGATTAAGGCAAGGTGCAGGCCCGGTTTTATTTTGCCTTTTGTCAGATACATTTTCCTAGGTTTTTAAGTTAAAAAGATACTGCAATATGAGATGCTTACATAGTTGCAGTAGGCTACTAGTATTAAACAAATATGTAAAGTTATTTATGATTTAGTTAATTTATGATTAATAAAATCAAACTCCCTGTACAATATTAAATATTCTTTTGCATCTTGTTACATAAAATCGTGCCATATCGCAAAATTGTATTGGCTCATTGGTGATGCATTGACATGCATATTGCATCGGCCTCAGTGATAGAGATGCACGTCCCTTATTTGTACACATAGTTGACCAATGAAGCTGATTCTGATGCTAAACAAGATTCCTCTTTTCAAACTCAGAAGAAAAACTGAATTCAAATCACATTTCATAATTCAAAAATATTTGGCTGGAATCCAAATGTGTGATAATTGTAATTGTCCATGTTCAATGTATAGAAATGATGACCACGTTCAAATCAGCTCTCTCCTCCCTGTGAGGAGGAGTCAATGCAAAACTCAGATGTCTTCCACCTCTACTTATCTGACTGCAGAGAGGATGACAGAGAACAGTGGACACACAGTTTAACATGATGGACTATAGGACAGGACTGCTGCTTTTAACTGTCTGCTGGGCAGGTGAAGATTTTCACTGATCTTGAGTAAAATCTGTCTTCATAAATGTGCCAGTTTACAGCAAGTGACTATGTTCTTGTTTGTCTTGACAGGTGTTGATGGTCAGACTCTGACAGAATCTGAACCAGTGGTTAAAAGGCCTGGAGAATCCCACAGATTGACCTGTACAGCCTCTGGATTCACATTCAGTAGCTATGGGATGAGCTGGGTCAGACAGGCACCTGGAAAAGGACTGGAGTGGATTGCTTATATCTATCATGATGGTAGCAGCAAATACTATTCTCAGTCAGTTCAAGGCCGATTTACCATCTCCAGAGACAACAGCAGACAGCAGCTGTATCTGCAGATGAACAGTCTGAAGACTGAAGATTCTGCTGTTTATTATTGTGCTCGAGACTCACAATGACTGGAGTTGATTGAGCAGCTGTACAAAAACCTACAGGACTCATCTTTACCACAAATTGAGCATAGCATCACCATCTCAGTACATCATAGCAGCACATTTCGAAGCCATACTGCTAAAAACTTACTGCAGAGCAAATATCAGTTTCTTTGTCGAAACGTGTTCTTGAATTATGTCATATGATTACAGTTTTACACACGTTTTCAAAACTGTCTCCTTTTTTCAAAACTCCACACACAATTCCCAAAACTGCTCACACAAAATGCAAAATGCCTTATATGTTCTTCAAAATGAAACACTGCATTCAAAATGCCATAAACACATCCCAAAATTAAGCATTTGCATCAGATGACAAACACTTTTTTCATAATAGTAAGTTTTTTCATATACCACTTACACTTTCTTTCACTAAATCTAAATCTCTTTTGTCTTTCATAGGCAAAAGAAATTTGCTGAGAGGTGCTGAAAAGTACTGTAAACACCAATACAATGTTGAAACATCAAATATTTATTTGGCAAAACATTTCTGTTGTAACAGTAGCACAGTGCAATATGGACACATTCAGAATTATTAAATTTTGAATAAACTACAGTACGGTGCGAGCCACATTCTCCAATTAGCTTACTTCTCATCCTTTTCTCGATTTCCAGAAGGAAAGTTCCGAAGTAAGTTCCGAAGGAAGGAATGTGTTTAAACAGAGTTGAACTGGAACTGCATACTAAATAGGCATACTTTGCTCATTTCATAACAGAGCTTTATTAAAACGGTTCCTCGGAGAAGACCTTACCTGAACGACAAAAAGCATGTGTGTAGTTCAATGGTTTTGCTAATTGTCTAACTTTAGATTTGGAAGTCTACAAGTCTTTTTACATTTATTTATTTATTTGCAAGAGTTTATAGAGGAGTCAAAATTACAATAGGCTATGCAAAGAGTCCTGCAAAGACTGTGGACTGAGATACGTGGCGGTTCAAACAGTTTACTTAACTGTTTAAGTCGTCTACTGTTTTGTTTACTCGTCTTAATTGTGATATAAAAGAACACTTTCATGTACATTATTCGATCAATAAACCAGCAGACCTTTCCATGTGCAGGACACCTGTTAGTTTAGTTAGTTCTAAAGAAATTCATCCAGCGCAGCAAACTTATGTATTCATTTAGATGATTTTGCTTTCATTTCATCATGTGCATCATGCAATATACATTTTAAGAACGTTTATATCAATAATCCTCCACTAGCACTCATCAAATTAAATAAAAAAATGCATTTAGGTTTAAATAAATCAATGTACAGCAGAAAAGATTGAAAAGCATTGTTTGAAGTGGTTGACACATTTTTAATTGCAGGACTTTGAGTGAGTTATGAAATTACTGTCATTAATAAACTATTCTAATATCCATTTCTGATTTAAGGAGGTTCACACTGTGGAGAAGGCACAGGCGAATCAATAAATGTAGTTAAGTCTCGTTTCAGTGTGCAGTAGCTTGTTTTTGAAATTTCATTGTAAAATCCTGGGACCTACCAGCACCTTACTGTTGTTGATGTTCACGGGGAATTTGTTGTTATATGCATTTCTGGTATGTTTTGTTTTGGTAATGCATATTTAATATGGAATCAGTGCAATGCCACAATGATTAAAAAGGACACTGAAAAATGCGCCTGTTGTTAATTACACAAGAGTAAGAAGATAAAGTTGAAACACAGCAGCTCGTCTTAAGACACAGAGGTGTTTTTATACTGTAAGTAATGAAATAGTAAGTTTCAACATGTTCTCTGTAGTTTTGATACTGCTGCTGGCAGCTGGATCCTGTGAGGAGCTTTCAGGTGATTCACACCAATAAACAAATTAGAAACACTGAATAGTCAGATGAATGATGGTGATCATTTTCAGTAGATCAGTTTCCTTAGGTGTAAACAGTATTAATCTCATCCAGCCAGATGTAAAATGTGCAGCCAGGACAGGCCTTGACCATCACCTGTCAGGTCTCTGGTTATTTTTTGACTGATCGCAGCTATGCAACAGGTTGGATCAGACAGTGTGAAGGAAAACCAATGAACTGGATTTTACATCAACAAGGTGTAGGCGGCTTTTTTCAAAATAATGTTTTGAAGAACAAGTTCTTTTACCACACACACACTCCAACCAGATGTGTGACATTACAATTTTTCTCCATTGCTTACAGTAAACACCATAAGCAGGCTTTTGGCCAAAACTTTCAAAACCATAACTCCATTTTTCAAAAAGCACACTAAACTCTACACACAAATTCCTTCAATTCTCATTGCCTACCCCGTGTGGTCATTGAGAAAGCACTGACATTCAATATTGTTCACTCAATCAGCATAGGTTGAGCTCAATTAGCACACAACTACCCATGTGGAAACACAAACAGTCAAAATTGATAACACACCAATCAGAAGCTTCAATAGATAGATGAAAGGACCAGAGTCAGTTCATTCAGTTTTTGAGCAATGGATCCAGAGAGATGTGAAGGAAGAGATGTAGGACACCAGAGAGGAGGAGGAGGACGAGGAAGAGGAGGACGAGCAGTATGGAGAGTTGGTGAAGAAGGAGGTGGAGGAGGTAAAGGGGGGAGGAGTAGGTGGAGAAGAAGGTGGAGAACAAGAATCTCTGGCCTGTCCCAGACCAAAATCAGGACTCTGGGGAAGAATAATTTGTTGTTTAGTGTGTTGTGTTGTACTGTACAGCACACAAAGGAATGAAAAATGTGTGCAAATGTTTACATTTGTTATTTCTTTTGTTGTGTTTATCATGTTAAAAGGTTTTTGAGGGGGAGAACCACAAGCATCATTACTTAGAACCAGATGTTGTACTATTGTTTTGAATTTATCTCACCAGTGTGAATGTATCCATGTGCATCCTCCACTACAGGCATTATAAGAAGGATATGAGACATTTTTATTTCTTGTGGATGCCTAGAGGAGACGGGGAAAGCATATTTCCAGTTTCAATGCAATAGTAGAAAATAACATCGGACATAACAATAGCTCTGTCTCTCAAAAGGTATGAATAAATTAACAAATAAGGTAAATGTCCCTTTTGTAAATTTGCCAAGATGAAAAAGCTCTAAACTACACGAGTAATTGATTGTCATTATGGAATAAGGACGTTTTGTTTCCTATTTGGTTAGTCCAGAGATGAATTGTCAGGACTTTGATATTTACATACTGGTATACAGTTTCCTCAGCTGTTAGAGATTCTCTACTTATGGAAATGTGTCTGTGTCACATGTTCCCTTTTTAAGCCTGTAGAGGGAGGTCTATGCAAACTCTTCCTCTCTTATAAACACACCATCAGCAACTTGTGGCAGAACACTGGGACAGTTTTATATATTTCTGAAACACTCAGATCAGAGAGCTGAACTACAGTGTTTATCACAGAATGGACAATACAATTATCTGGAGTTTATTATTTGTAGTTACTATTCATGGTGAGAAATCATTTCTGCTTTACTTCTTTTGTAAAAGTCCAACCTGTGATTTACAAGTTTGTTGGATAATGATCAGAATTTTTTGCTTACAGGGGTTTGGAGTGAGATCAAACTGGACCAGTCTCCCTCTGAGGTGAAAAGACCTGGAGAGACAGTGAAGATGTCATGTGTCATATCTGGTTATAGCATGACAAGCTACAATATTCACTGGGTACGACAGAAGTCAGGGAAAGCTCTGGAGTGGATTGGGAGGATGAACACAGGTTCAAACTCTGCTATCTATGCCAGCTCCTTTCAAAGCCGTTTCATCATGACTGAAAATGTGCCCAGCAGCACTCAGTACCTCGAGGTCAAGAGCCTGACAGCAGAAGATTCTGCTGTTTACTTCTGTGCTCGATAAAGCACAGTGACTGAAGACAGTGGAGCAGCTGCACAAAAACCTCCACAGTCAACAAACAGCAATGTGATCTTCATTTTCTCACCAGATGCAAAAACACTTTAATGTATCCATGTTAAGTTCTAAATGTTTTAAACTCATGAGTAAATATTTATTAGCTTAATGATGTTACATTCCCCTGTCACATTCACAAGTACAAATCATAAATTGTATGAAATCAGTTTGATCACAGAGCGAACTTGGCAGGATCAGAAGATAATTAGATAAATGAAATGTCTACAAAAAAATATATATTAAAAACATGGTGGGTGATGTAACGTGAGTAGAGGACAATGTAGCAGTTCAAAAATGCTAGTGGACATTTGTGATCAGAGGAATACTGTAGATCATTTAGCTCATCTGCTCCAATATTCTCACAGGGAGTAATGAGGTCTAAACTAAGAGCATTTTGAAGTTTTATTAAAAGCAATGTGTTTGTGGTGGTAATACTCAGACATTTACACCCTAAATTTACAACCCAAACAATTTATTACACAACCTCGACTGACTTGAAGGAATGACTCTGGAACGTTGATTCTTCATCAAACAATAAACTGAAAGCATAGTCAAATCCACTTTTCTCCTCCCTGTGAGGAGGAGTCAATGCAAAACTCAGATGTCTTCCACCTCTACTTATCTGACTGCAGAGAGGATGACAGAGAACAGTGGACACACAGTTTAACATGATGGACTATAGGACAGGACTGCTGCTTTTAACTGTCTGCTGGGCAGGTGAAGGTCTTCACAGGTCTCAATCTTACATAGCTTTCATTTATACCACCAATTTAACACATTACATGCATATTGTTTTTCCCGTGACAGGTGTTGATGGTCAGACTCTTTCAGAATCTGAATCAGTCATTAAGAGGCCTGGAGAATCCCACAGATTGACCTGTACAGCCTCTGGATTCACATTCAGCAGCTACCATATGAACTGGGTCAGACAGGCTCCTGGAAAAGGACTGGAGTGGGTTGCCTGGGTTGAAAATGATAATGACAGGAAATACTACTCTCAGTCAGTCCAAGGCCGGTTTACCATCTCCAGAGACAACAGCAAACAGCAGGTGTATCTGCAGATGAACAGTCTGAAGACTGAAGATTCTGCTGTTTATTATTGTGCTCGACAGCCTCACAGTGACTGGAGTTGTTTGAGCAGCTGTACAAAAACCTACAGTACTCATCTTTGTGCTGGTCGAGCAAAAGCATGACATATTTTTTAAAAGATTTTTTAAAAATTAGTTTGTATTTCCTATTTTACATTACATATATTGTTTAAAATAATCCAAGGTGGGTTAAATCAAGGGCAACTTGGGTGAAGGCACTCAAATACATTAGCCTCTCATCCAAGAGGCCTCTTCGAATCCCAGCTATTTAACCTCTGTTGGATCGAGTGTTGGGCAAGTTTCTCAGAATTGTATTAAGTTACTTATTACTTATTACGTCTGTTTTCAAAAGGTTAAAAAATGTATTACTTCAGTAATTACTGGGAATTAAAATATACTAGTTACGTTAATCGTTACTTTATTCTTTTCACAACTGCACATGCATTTATAATAGCAGTATTCAGTGTTCACACAAAACATAAAACATAGCTTTGTGCCACTCTTTCCCGATGAGTGCATGCATCACTGGCAGTAGCAGCTTGAGTTTCTTTCAATAAGTTTCAAATTGCTGTGCTGCTATAGCGGATGCTTCAATACATTACTTGTAGAATTGTTATTGTGACACAATAATGGCAGCTCTTAGAGCTGTCTAAAGAACGCCTGTCTCCCTCGTTCTCCATTCTTCATTTAGCTTTTTGGCTAACAGCTGACTAGAACAACATAAGGTGCATTCTAGTAACGCAGTAAGGCGGCGTTATATATAGTAATGGAAACAGTAATCCCTTACACTCCCATACGAGTTACTGAGAAATGCGTTACTGACTAACACTGGTGGGGTCGTTATCAAGGTGAAGGATAGCTAGTCCACCCGAAAGACCACACAAACATACACAAGAAAAGCTATCTAGTATATGCTGTCCAAAACAGTGAGGAATACACAGACCTGTATATTGGGGAAACTAAACAACCACAAATGCAAGGTTCAAAACAGAAGGGCCAACGCCTCAGATCAAGTTTGCTCAACTCAGCAGATTACTTAGACTTGAAGTATAAGGGACACTCTTTTAAGTACAGAAATGTTCATATTTTGGATAGGGAGGATAGATGGTTCGAATGAGAAGTCAAAAGCCACTTTCCCACAGAGATCCTGCAAAAATTGCAGAGAGAATGTCCTCCAATATGCCGCATTCACTCATTCATCCTGAACAATATACTGTGGCATAATCCTGCAACCGTGCGTGCTTTAACATAGCGATCGGCCTTTCTCGGTTAGACTGTGAAAAAAAAACCTGACTTGTAACACAACAGCATTGAAATGCATCACCTGTTCCGGCATGGGGCTTTTCGCACAGACATCTTTCTGGCTCTGATACTACCAACATTCCCGGCTCGAAGGCAAATCAAATATGACCCCTTTTCAGTACATTTCATACAGTGCTGCAAGCGAGGAGTGTGAAAGCGCCTAAAGAAGCCATTTACTCCAGAGAAGAGAAACTATCTCTCAACAGGGGAGGAGGTCTAAGACACAGTCATCTGGGTAAATCCCTAAAATACATAACTTAGGGGATAAAGGTAAAGGGAAAATTGTGATCTGAGAGATATACTTTAACACTGCGCTCCAAAATTTTTGATTCTCTTCATAAACAATGATATAATGTACCTTGGTGAATTTTACACTTATAACATAGACCAAGTATATTAGGATCAAATTTATTTAATTGTACAGGGGCGATGTATGTTCGCATTACTCGCAAAACTAGGAGACCAGTCTTTTACTAAGACAGTTTTTTGTAACATGTGTTTCTAAAATGGAGAATGGAGGTTGTTGCACTGAATTGTTTAAATTGTGTCAGAATAAAACTTGTAAGTTGTACTTAAAAAAGTGTTTCTACGGTATTTTAAACTTTGCCTTTTAGCTCATTGAAAGACATTAGAGTATTGTCTTCAAATGCATCCTGTAGTTTTACTATACCCTTGTTTAACCATACTTTAAAACCCATGTCGTTTGTTGTGTAAGAATGTATCATTTATTCAACTTAATACATTCCATATCATCCATTTATCCAGAATATATCATTTATTCAACGTATCATCATGTAATATCCCTAGTTAGATCTGAAGTTAAATTGAAGTCTGAGGTTTGACTCTACCCTCTGTGTGAGACCAAAGTTGAAAGGCCAATGACAGGCCTGATGACCCTCAGGAGTGTTCCGTGGAATGTGTTCAGTAGGGGTGAAGAACGGTAAAAAACATGCACCTTAAAAAACATGCAATTGAGGTATATTGTATTATAGACTCAGATACTATTCTGTGGGAAAGGAGAGAAGACCATGTACCCTGATTGTATATCTTTCCTGGACCCCCATGACCATGACAGAAGGTATGGTCATAGGGACATATCTTTATTTTTAAAAACAGGACCTATAAATTTGGGAGCGAATGGTATATGACCAGAGACACTCCTAAGGGGGCCCAATTGGGTCCAAGGGGGTCTGTACCCTGGGAAGTGCCAGACCCGAGAGTTCTACTGGTGTATCAAAACACATAAATGTCTTAAAAATATATGACCACGGCATAGTTCCCATCAAATGATGTGATTGATAAAGTTAACTGACAATAAAGATTAATCAATGTTTTTAAGAAAAACATGAGAACTAGGATTTAAGGGTGTAAAATATTTATGGAACGGGAAGACGGTCCTGAAGGAGATCACCAAGAAGAAATTTACACCCATAAAACTAACAAAATGCTACAGGAAATAAAAAAAATAGGCGGGTATCTCACAGAGACCCCACCTCTCTATGGAGAGCCAAGGGCCATAATGAGAAGCTCCACACCATGTTTTCAGTGTGCCTTAACGGTCTGCTAAGGCTTGCGCGGGTTTTGTCTTGCTTTGACAATAAACTCTATTACAGCGATCTCTGACTGACTCCAGTAACTTCTTTCGAGCTCCAAGTGCTATCTACCATCGATACTTGTTAAGTACTGAGGACAGATCTGGGCTTCCAGCGGGCCTGAGTCTAGCGTTTTGTCCGTCTAAGCGTTCCTCGCCGGGGCGAAGTGATCATTACCCCAGATTGGGGGGAGACAGGACAACCCTGGGGAGTCATCCCATCTTTTGTACTATATGCCAAACCACAATAGTGTTCTTTAAAAAAGGATAATATAATATTCAATGACAAACCTTTTCAGGACAGTTTTTCAATTTCTAACCAGGGCATGAAAACATCTTTTATGAAAACCAAAACATTGTGTTCCTCAACTGAGCAGCCCAAATAATACCTTTCTAGATTTGGCAACTGTAGCCCTCCTCTGTCATAAGGTAAATATAAGAGGGAGAGTCTAAGTCTTGGCTTCCTATTGTTCCAGATTAAATTACAAAGAAGCTTTCTGGTCTTAGGTAAAAAAGGAGGAGGAAGGGCTAGTAGAATTGACTGAAAAATATATAAAAATTTAGGTAGTATAATCATCTTTGCTATGTTTATTCTTCCCAGTATAGAGAGAGGCAGTGTTGTCCATCTTGTGAACTCTTTCGACACCTCTACTAACCTGGGCTCATAATTGGCTGCACTAAGTTTACTCATCTTTGGGGTTATTCTGATGCCCAGATATATAAATAACGTTCACAAATGTGTGGGATACTACTGGTTTCTCTCTCTCAATTACATTTAAAAACAATAGATGACTTTTCTTTGTTCACTTTGAACCCAGAGATATTACCAAATTGATTGAACAACTCTAGGAGAGATGGTATCGATTCTACAAGATGTGACAAAAACACAATAGTATCATCAGCATACATTGCTGTATTGTGTACCATGTCCCCGGTCTTAATACCATGTATCGAGGGGTCTATTGCTAGTGGTTCCATGGCTATTACAAAAAGTAGACAGGTGTACAGTAGTCTTGTGCCTCGAAATAACTTAAAAGGCTGAGAGATGATGTCATTAGTAGTTAACATTGCAGAAGACAAGTAAAATCAATAAGTAAAATTTCAACCCAAACCCCCATACAAAAGTAATCACCAAATCCAAAATGCTTAAGCACCTCGTGCAGGGGCTCTTCACACTCGTGGATTACATTAAAAACTCTCCTCACTTCACATTGCAGAACCCCTGACAATTTGCACAAAACCATTCTGGTCTCCATGTATAATGGCTGGTAGAACCCTCTCTAGTCTCATAGCTAGAACCTCGGCTATAATCTTTGCATCAGAATTTAAAAGTGAAATGGGTCTCTAAGAACCGTGTTCAGTTGACGGCTTGCCTGGTTTTAGAAAAAGAGTGATTAGAGCACTAAGTAATGAAGTGGGGAGGCAACCTGTTTTAAAGGATTCACAATAAACATCTAATAATAATAATTAGACCATCTTCAGCCTTAAGCAAGGAAAGCTCCTTGTATTTTGCTTTAAGGGTCAGTAATTCCTGTTTTTTTTGTGTTGAATCATCTATGAAAACCTCTCGCTCTAATTCTGTAATTTTAGAGTCTAATTCATTCATTGTCTGTTTGAATTTGTTAAATTTAGAGCTGGTGATGCTTGTCATTTGATCTTCTTTGATCATCTTCTTGAACATAACAACAGGGGGCCTGGTCTTTAAGGGTTTTGTGAGTGAAGAGAATGAATTTGAATTGCAGTTTGTGAATGTATGGTGTGGGGAAAAGAATAGAGCAGCTGGAGAAAGTTGAATTGCATCCATGGTTTAATTTTGGTGAAGTAGTTGGTCAGGGTGGAGAGACTTGCAGCGATGATGGATTTACTTGGGGAACATCAGTGAAGCAGCAGTGGAAGGGGAGACTATAATGAAGGATGATATTACAGAGGAGGAGCACTTAGAGGATGAACAGGAGAGCACAGCTGTGGAGGAGATACAGTCTTTAAAGATGATGAAATGATGTTTGAATATGACTTAAGCCAGGAGAGGGCAGCACTGGTGATGTTGTTTGAGGATTCAAGACATGAGAGAAGAATTGGGTGGTTGAAGATCATCAAAGGCAGCAATGAGGTCAAGAATGATACAGTATGATGAGGAGATGGTCAGAGGAGAGAAGTTGCTGAAGAAAGACTGTATCTAATTTAAAATACAATGTTCATGAGTAATGTTTTAAAAAAAAGAAAAACTATTGCCTGTGTGCCTAATGTAAATATTTTTACATTTTGAAAATATGTTATGGTTTTACAGGCATCCATTACCTTGTTTCCATTTATTACATTTTTCTTTACAACATTTGGTCCTGTAAATACTCCACATACTCACAACACAGGCAGTCATAGTACAGCTATCTTCCCTTTATAAACCTGCAGAGGGAGGTCTATGCAAACTCTTCCTTCTTTATAAACACACCAACAGCAACTGTCAAAGCATTTGAGGCAGTCACTGATTTGCAGTGAGTTTACTGCAGAATGAAAAATATGATTACCTGGAGTTTATTGTTTGTAGTTGCAATTCATGGTAAGAAAATCAATTCTGTGATTACAAAGTAAAATACGTTCTTAAGTTTGATGGATAATGATCAGAATTTCTCTGCTTGCAGGAGTTTGGAGTGAGATCAAGCTGGACCAGTCTCCCTCTGAGGTGAAAAGACCTGGAGAGACAATGAAGATGTCATGTATCACATCTGGTTATACTATGACAAGCAACAGTATTAACTGGATACGATAGAGTCCAGGGAAAGCTTTGGAGTGGATTGGGTGGATAAACACAGCTACAGGCTCTCCAAGTTATGCCAGCGCCTTTCAAAGCCGTTTCAGTTTTACTCAAGATGTGCCCAGCAGCACTCAGTACCTCGAGGTCAAGAGCCTGACAGCAGAAGATTCTGCTGTTTACTTCTGTGCTCGATAAAACACAGTGACTGAAGACAGTGGAGCAGCTGCACAAAAACCTCCACACAGCAAGTCTGTGAAGTGATCACACTTTTCTAATCAGCTGCATTTAAATGTCGTAAATGTAAAATTTTTGACAAATGTTACTTTTATATTTACATCTTTTAAATATAAAAGTAACACTTGTAACTCTTCACTGTGTCTATATAGCAACATGTTTAAAAGAAAGATTCAACAGTCAAAGAGCATCCATGTCTGTCTGCCATTTAATATTCACCATAAAATGTGATATTTAAAAGTAAAAATAATGTTCACTATTTAATAAGTCTAGTACAAAATCCTACAGTTGTTAGAGTGGTTCAGGTTGAACTGAAACTCTTCTTTACTGGGAAGACATCCTTTTTAAAATGTCATAGTTTGTTGTTGTTGTGAATAAAATGATGACATCTGGCCCTGAGAAAGATCATCATTAAGCAACAATTAAATCAACAAAACACTTAAATCGCTATGTTACTGTACCAACCACTTCTCCACAGACAGACAATGACAACAAAACAATTTGCTGAAATCAGTGCCCAGGTGTGAATTAAAGAAATACTGCATGTACACATTTCAGCCACATTATCTTGCAGAATCACAAACTCATACACACAAGCGCACACACACACACACACACACATATGGTATATAGATAAAAAAATAAAAAGGTAATTTTGTACACTGCATATCCCAATCTCACAGTCAAATCTTCGTTATGAAATGAGGATCATCCCATTTTGGCTATATGGGGTGCTCAGTGTCTGATTCTACATAGAACTACCGGTTTTCTCACAATAGGTTTATATACACCTGTGAAAAGAAAGAAGCTTTTAATAAATCTTTTTTTAAAGTGCATGAATAATAAAAAAACTTGTAACCCTAACCCTTACACAAGTGTGGTGTAACTTTAGTTTGTGTGGTAGAAGAGGGAGAGAGACAGAGTGCCAGGTGCAAACCTCTGAACAAGAACAGCTCACTGTTAAAGAGAGGAAAAGACATATTTCATAATAAAAGGAATATTAAATAATATTAAATACACTGGAGGTGTTTTCCAATTAGTGTCTTCTCTGTTTGACTAGCGACAGCATTATTTCTATTCCCAACTGCATTTTAAAAAGCTTTTCAGCAAATAAGAAATTAAACATACCGGTATATAATTCCTTCTTTATGTCATGAGTGTTTTCCAACAAATAAAAGGCCAAACTCTGTCCTTCCTGTGAAGATCAGTCAATGCAAGTTGTCTTCCATCTTTACTAATTTGACTGCAGAGATGATGACAAACATTTTTGGTTTTCACTGCACATTTTGTTTTACACAACATAATAGTTTATATGTCTGACTGAAAAATTTCTTTGTATTTACTCAATCACATGACATTGATTGTACTTAATAAACAACTTAAATATTGTGTTTACCAAGTTATTGCACAAATTATTCTGAAACATGAAAGAGGGACTCATGTACAGTAAACATTCTCCAGTTTCCCACAGTAATTGAGATCCAAGTCAAATCCTGTCACGAGGCCCCGGCTGTGAGCTTGTTCTGGGAGCTGGGGGCGTGTCTGCTGCGGGCTCTGCACTCACCTGAGAACCATCTGCAATCAGCACACCGGCTCTGTGTCCCACAATCAGCCACTGCCTAAATAGGAGGCTCAGACATCCAGTCCTTGCCGGATTGTTGAATCTCCATGCGTATGTTGTGTCAGCCCCAGCCAATCTTAGAATCAGTTTTGCTTCGTGGTTATTGTCTGTTCCAGTCTAACTGTTGCAGACATCAGCAGACAACCAGCCAGTAAACTCTCAGTGTTGCCCTCAGCTTGGACACTCCCCGCTCCCGGATTTCCCTCCTACCCTGAACCTGGGAGAGAGCCTCTGTCCTGAACCTCCGTCTTCCCCGCTTACTCTCCTCTGAATAAACTGTCTAAACTCGGTTCTGCGTTTGGGTCCTCTCAGCCTGAAAACCTGTCAAATCCCTGTGAGGAGGAGTCAATTCAGACAGAGAAGAGTAAACCCACAGTTTAACATTTCTAATTAGTTTAATGTTCCTTTAATAAAAAAACTCTAGATAGCAGTCAGGGTCAAGTCTATCTCGTCTGTCACTATGAGGAGACTCATATATGTTTGTCTCAATATCTTAACTGACTGTCACTGTGAGCTCACTTCACCACAAAACTAACCCATTTAATCCTGAATTTTCTGAGAGTTCTGCATGTACTGGAGTCTATAAAGGAATTTGGTGGGTGCACCATAAATTATACTATTGCAGGAGTTGAGTCTGGAAGTGATAATGCATGGATAAGGGTTTCAGCAGCAGAGAAGGAGAGAGCTGAATGGAGATATGTTGTTTTACAATTGGACAATAGTGATGAGATTTGGATGAGAAGTCTAAGCCTGCGGAAGTATGGTGTGGGAGAGAGAATGGAGCAGACAGAGAAAGTTGGCTTGCATTGATTATTTAATTTTAATGAGGTAGTTGGTCAGGTTGGGAGACCTGCAGTGACGATGGATTTACTTGATATGTAGAGGTGAACATCAATGATGTGGCAGTGGAAGTGGAGACCATGATGAAGGATGATATTACAGAGGAGGAGAGTATAGAGGATGAACAGGAAAGGAAAAAGGAACTGTGGAGGAGATGCAGTTGTTAAAGCTGATAAACTGTTGTTTGAGCTATGATTTACACCAGGAGAGGGCAGTACAGGCATGTTGATGGAGGATTATGAATCAGAATCAGAAATACTTTATTGATCCCCGAGGGCAATTTTATTTGTCACAATTGCACACTTGTCATGGTAGATAGATAAAGAGTATATAAATATAAGAGTATACATATAAAATATAAAGACAAATATAAAGGATTGTGGGTATGTACAATATTTACATTATTAAGAATTATTAGGGTGAACCAAAAAGTACTAATAAATAGTAGCAGAGAATATTGCACATTAATTATTAAACAGGTAATATTGCACAGAAAGTAGATAATACGGTCTAGTTTAATAACTGACTAAGTATCAGACACTTAAAGGGAGGAGTTATAAAGTTTGATGGCTACAGGCAGGAATGACTTCCTGTGGCGCTCTGTGGTGCATTTTGGGGGAATGAGTCACGTCATGGAGTAGGTGGTAGACATGTAGTTTGGACAGCATCCTCCTCTCTGACACCACCGACAGAGAGTCTCCAATGATGAGATGATCAGAGTCTGAGGAGAAAAGCTAATGAAGAAAAATTGTGTTAAACTTAAAATACAATGTTCTTGAGAAGTAATGTTTTGAAAAGAACAGGCAGTATGAGTACATCTATCTTCCCTTTATAAACCTGCAGAGGGAGGTCTATGCAAATTCTTCCTTCTTTATAAAAACACCAGCAGCAGCTGTTAAAGCATTTGAGTGAATCACTGAACTGCAGTGAGTTTACTGCAGAATGAAAAATATAATTGCCTAGAATTTATTATTCGTTGTTGCTATTAATGGTAAGAAAATCAATTCTGCGATTACAAAGAACCCAATGAAAAAGTGAAAAGGTGCAGATTACAAAGAACTTAAATTGTTTGATGGATAATGATCACAATTTCTTTGCTTACAGGAGTTTGGAGTGAGATCAAACAGGACCAGTCACCCTCTGAGGTGAAAATACCTGGAGAGAAAGTAAAGATGTCATGTATCACATCTGGTTATACCATGACAAGCTATTCACTGGATACGAAAGAGGCCAGGCTCTGGATAGGATTGGGTGGATAAATACAGCTACAACCTCTACGGGGTATGCTAGCTCCTTTCCAAGCCGCTTCAGTTTTACTCAAGATGTGACTCAAGTAGTAAAGACAAAATTAATGCTAATATAAAGAGAAATTATTGTAATGTGAACCATAATTTATTTCCTTTTTAAATGTGCATAAAATACACATATGGCAACGTCAGTCCATGCCAACAGATACAGACGTACAGCACACTGAGGATTGTTCATCTGAGATGTATTTATATTTTACATGATGTCCGCCCCTCTGTTCAGCACGCCAGGGATCTATTCTGCTCTGATGGAGAGCAGGTGAGCGTGCACCCACAGGAGCAGACGCCTGGCCAGACCCAACAGTTTATGTAGGCTGCGGCGGCCCTGTAGTCGGTGCGGACCAGCACGTGCTGGCGGGCCGAGGAGGAAATATTAACAATATTAACAACACTGTGTGCCTATCAAGTGACTAATTATGCTTGTTGTCAGAATTTGCATTAGAAACAACGTTTGTATTGCTTCTACGGTGCATAGAAAGGTTACACAAGGTTACCACAAGCTCAAATTATGGCTGTCAGTACTTATTTGTGTTATATTGTAGAGCACCATTGATCCTCACCTGACTATGGCTTTGTAAACTTACCCATGATGTGTGATGATTTATAATGGACTGTGGTACAGAAACATTGACAATGTTACTCTTGGCTTACGTTTTCCATGTTGTCTGTCAGTGATCATACTTGCACTAGATGTGATTTTTTTGTTTTTGGGATGTTCAATTTATTAGGCCAGATGAGACCCTACCAAGATGTAACACATTGTGTATTACAGTACAGTAATATATTACATTCATGTAGCACTTCATTTATTGAGGCTGCTGCTGTTCCCCCAGCTATGAGACAGGTCCTGCAACATCGACTCCCTTGAAGAGAAAACCTTTGCAAGTCCCAGCTCCAGCATTGTCTAGCATTGGTGCTTCTAATGCGGGGTTCGGCAACCTTTAACACCAAAAGAGCCATTTGAACTTGGTTTCCACGGAAAAGAAAACACCAGGAGCCGCAAATACTTTTTGACATCTAAAATGAAAAAAAACCGCATTTATTTAAAAAAACAACAACAACAACAACAACTTCCCTTTCATGCTACTGGGTTCACCCCAGCCATACACTTATTAGTGCTTTGAACATTTTGAATTCTTGAAAAAATAATAACAATTTCTGAATGTCTCTTTCAAATAAATTAAAAAGCTGAACTTAAAATATCCATGTAGCAAACAAAAGCAAAAAATGCCGTGAGCTGTCATCCTTATAGTATCGCCTTTGGGCTTTCAGAGCATGTAGCAGAGCCTTGACCTGAATTTAAAAAATAAATTGAGAAATAAAGCACTGTGTCACTAAACAATTAAAAAATAAATGTTTGCAAAATATCTGCATAAATATTTATTTTACCTGGTTAATGGGACTTCTGCTCCTGAACCTCTGCGCACAGCGTCTGCAAATCGAGGCTGTACGAAGTCACTTTCATCTTTACGCAGGACTGTAAGCTGTCATCTGTGAGGCGTGAGTGGTGTTTGTTTTTAATGTAGTTCATGGTAGAGAATAGCTGCTCACATACATATGTGGATCCGAAGATGGACAGAACTCCAAAGGCGAAAAAAGAACTAACACAAATAAAATACACTTCAATTAAATACTTAGTTTTTTTTCTTTTTAGTAATTTATTTTCCCAAGCCACTCGGAGCCGCAGTATAAGGATGAAAGTGCAGCATGCGGCTCCGGAGCCGCGGGTTGCCGACCCCTGTTCTAGTGGAACAGACCGGTAAGTCATGCATAACAATATTTTAATTTAGTCCTAATAGCTTTGATTAGAAACATGAACTTCATGATTAGTTTGTAATAGTATGTTATTTTATTTTTGGTCTATATCTACTGTTGAATTAGCATATGTGTGATATACACAACTTGCTCTGGTTATTCTTTACAGAGATGAGCATCTTGATGTCATTCCAGAAGCCACAGAAATTCAGGGCCTTGAACAAAGGTGACATGTACATATCATAACTTTTAGCCCTATATGTTTTTTACAGCTTACATGACATGAGCATTGTTGAGGAGGACTTGGAGGAAAATGTTTTCAATGACCAATTACATGTATTATTTTTCAGTGATATTATTTGAGAACTTGTTTTTATCTGAAAGTTGTCATTATGTATTTAATTATATATATATAATTCATTGGGCAGATAAAGCTTCATCTTACTCCCTTGAAAGAGATGATGGACAGAATGGTTTCAGCTCTGATGAAGAGGATCTTCCATCGATTTCTATATGGTGTGTTATTTGTCAGTCTCAATTTGCTATTGTTTTGTGGTGTCTGTTTACTACAGATTTTTGTGCCTCAATAGAACGGGTGGAGCAGTGAAGAAAACAAACTCTATCGATGGACTTCCTTGCCTGCACATGAAGACCCCCCTGATGAGCCTTCTCCCTGTGATCATGACCCTGTTTTCCCAGAATCACAGAATGTCCTTTGTGAAAAGGACATCATAGGTGTCAGAGCCTCCATAGTGTACGAGAACTGCTTAAGACAACTGGCTACATTTCTGATCCTGCCTGTGGATAAATGCATGAACATTTACACTTTACACACAGACTATAGTTGAATGCCTGTATTTTACAGTAAAGGAGAGTCCATCCTCTTCAACTGGCTTAAGGACATTTTCGGTGGTGTTGCAAGACTGCCGACACACGGGCAGTTTCTTGTAAGCAAACAATTTTATTATATCTTTGAGTAATTTCATTAATTGCTATATTAAGGACATATTTATAGTGCATTTTTATGTTTTTCAGGCATTATGGGTTGGCATCCTTCACTATGTCTGCAACATTCACACCTGGACTATGGGTTGTTGTAAACACGGGCACCTTGAATCGGATCAAATGCAGGGACAGATGTGGATCCAGAGAGACTCCCAGTGCCACAAAGCTTTAGTGGATATAGTTCTCAATAAGAGGTGGCAGAAAGATGTTCACAACTATCTGCGATTCAGGTAGTATGGCTATACTTTTTCACACTGATGTATATTAGTAATATTTATGCTTATGCTATGTTTGTTCTATCAGATCGACTGCAGACCTAGAGTCATTCCAGAATGGAGTCCTCTGGAGTGGGGATGCCTAGAAGCAGGAGCCTTCTCCCAGATGACCCCAGACAGCTTGGTTTGGTGCCCCCTGTACCTGCACCAGCCACATTAGACTTGTTGAAGAGACAAGTCAGAAGAGGTCTAGGTATGTTACACAAATTTGCCTATGTTGTACTATATTACATGTCCCTGAATGATATTTACATTACAATATAGTCTGTAACTATGTTTGATGGCACTGTCTTCAACAGGACCGTTCTTCCAACCAGCATCTGATGTGGAAGGATCCCCACAGGAGATCACCCTGCATGTGTCCTGGTACTTGTCAGGCAGCATCACAAGGGAAAGAACTTCAATTCACTGACAAAGTCATAGCTTTTACTCTTGAAAAACAAAAATTTATTAACATTAAATTTTGTTCCTACCCTCCTCCAGTGGTTATTTCATGTTTTTCCATTTTGTACACGTTTCATCTTATTGTGCTAAGTACACTGTGAGCAGAGGATATTATTTTCAGTAGGTAGCCTAAATTACAGTTTACAATTTGAACAGTAATGATAAGTAAGGCTACAGCTGTCCCCTGTTATGTAAATATAAATAACTAAAATTGGTATTGGAAATGGTATGGCAAAGTTTGAAATTCTAAACACATGTACAAATGTATATAATGAAAATAAAAACACCATGTGCTTCTATTTCTTACCTTTTATTTTTTCGATACCATAGAACTGCAGTTGAACAACTATAACACTATATAACTATACAATATACATCAAATTTAAATAAAGAGGGGAAAAATATGAATAAATATATATAGAAATGTAATCCTGAGGCAAGTTTGTGAGTATTTGTGTGAAACTGTGTGACCATGCCAGAGGGACTGGAAGCTCCATGTTGCCAACAGATGAAGTGTCTATAGGCACCATATGGGTACTCCCTGTTGTCATCCTCAGGCCCCCAGATGTTGCCTAATGCCGTAATGTCCTCCCGGTATTGACTGTGAATGCGAATAAAGCCTTCTTCAAGGCAGTACTGGGAGAAGTGTGGCAGTAGGCTCACACAGTTCACTTGCTCCTGGCCACAGCATTTCCCTACAGTTACCACAAGTACACCAAGGTACTCCTGGCACTCCAACAGAAGGTGGGGCACCATGTCTGCGCTGATGCATCATCAAGGCATCAAAGACCAGGCCTGGCTGCCTCTCTAGCAGAAGGGTGGAGAGCTCTGTGTTCTTCAAGGGTCATCTCTTGAAGAAGTCTGAAGAAAGAGGACACAGGGAAAAATACTCAATATGCAATATTCTCTGCTTCAATACTCTGGTTACTCTGTCTCAATGTTGTTTTTAAGATTGTATCCATTCCAAATGAAACATACCAGTACTCATTATTACTATTAGTATTTAATGCACTACTACTATTTATCATTACACTTCAGTTGATGCTGTAAATTACTTGTCCACATTACCTTGATTTAGATTTTATAATTTGTATATTTAATTATATTTCCTACTTACCTACTTTATATATTTATTTCTTTTCCTTAGTATCTTGACATGCAAGCTTAGCAATTGTGACCAAGAATTTCCCCTCGGGTATCAATAAAGAATTTGTGATTCTGATAAAATAAGGCTTTATAAGTTGCATGACATTATGTTGGCAACATGGTACTGCATATTAGGGTTTGCAGGCTGTCCAGTGCTTGCTCAACTTCATATAATCATTTTTGCCCAGTAAATGACGTTACACTATGAAAACATTCAACTACTATCTAACGTTACAGTACCAGGGGTACATGTGCACAAAGCTGCTATGTAAATAACGTTATCACTGCGTGCTGGGGTTTGTCATAAAGTGCAAACAGGTCAGAATATAATAACGTTACAACAACCTTATAAATACAAACCTCGGTAACAGCTCTCTGGTTCCTTTGGAGGGCTTCCACTCTTTCTTCGTCCTCTGTTGAGCCATCACTCCAGGTATGTCCTCTGCCTCTCCTATCCCTGACTGCACCTCCAACACCACTGCCTCTCCACCCTCTTCCTCTGCCTCTCTCTTCCAGTTACCTCCGGTAAATAGACTTGTGCATTTAGATCACATCGACACGTGCTGGTTCTGTCTAAGGTTCTTCTTCTTCTTCTTCTTCTTCTTCTTCTTCTTCTTCTTCTTCCTCTTCTTCCTTGTGCTTTTATTGTTGGCAAACAACAAATTGGTGCATTACCGCCACCAACTGGTGGATCAGACCTTTATACAACTCTGATCATGGAGAGAAATACTTCTGTGAGTAATTAGTTGGACTTAGTGGGCGGGCCACAACACGTTGATTGACAGTTAAGGAAGAGGAAGGAAAAAGCAATATACATAGGTCTCTAAGGGAAAAGCAATGACAATAGGTCTCCTTTGGGAAAGGCAAAAGCAAACGTATGTATTTATTCTTTTATTCATTCTTTCTTTCTTTGATATATTTCCGCATTTATTTATTTATTCTTTATTCATTCATTCTTTCTTGTATATATTTCCCCATTTATTTATTTACTTATTCTTTCATTCACTTCTGACACTTTCATTTTCAGCTGGTTATCTATGGAACATAAATAACCAGCTGATGTTATGGACAAAGTTTTACGCGGAGCGTTAAATCTCACTGGCCGTTCACAGAGAAGTCAGCGCCAGACAGTGAACTGCCGACAAGTGTTTCAGGTTTGTGAGTCCACAGTTGTAACAGTTGAGTTAAGTGACTGTATTGCTGGCTAGTTCGTGAAGGCCAATCGCGTGTAGGTGTAGAGAACAATCTCCCAAGCAGAACCCCTTTTGAACAAGAAGTGGTTCGAATCCATCTGTGGCTCTAAATATTTTGATGCAGAGTGTTTGCATAACTCAAAACAACAACACCGATCATGGAAATAATCAATATTTTAGGATGATAAGATGTATCAATCATGAGGTTTTGTCCCTTATGATTAAAAGGTTAGACATTAATGCTACTTTTACCTGCTGCTATTGCTAAAAATTGCATTGAACTTACTAATAATCAACTTGATTTCTATACCATAACTGCTTCATAAAATAATTAAAAAACAGGCTTGTACTGTAATATGCAATTAAGATGTTGATTTCCACATATAATGCACAGTTTGACTTATGAAAGGTCTATGTTAAGACACACCAATGTCTATTGTACAGATGTGAAAGTGCACAGCTCAGCATATCAATATATAGATGTTTGATTACTCAATTTTCTATACAAATTTTCTATATATTTTACTACCCAAGTAAAGACAATTACATATTGCTTTCAAGATATTTTATTGAAACACAGCTGAAACCTGAATAATTAAACACACAAAATCCAAACTTACTTTCTTGAGAGAACCAAATCAACAGGTAGTGAAATGTACAGTACAGTATGTGGTGTATCCATAAACATATATACAATATTAGTGATGAAACAATTAGCAACCGATTAGTTAGTTAGTAATAATCAATTACGTAATTTTCAAGCAAAATGCCCCAAACATTTTGGTTTCAGCTTCTCAACTGAGTTTTTTTGAGTTTTCTGTCTTCTGTTAATGTAAACTTAGTTTCTTTTGGTTTCAGACCTGAAGACTATATTGACAAATAAATGAAAAGAACTGATTTTCTACCCAATTAAATGAAAGTTCAAGTAAGGATGTCCCGAGCTGATCTACAGGCTCCAGATCAGGGCCAGTTCAGGTGTTTTGATCAATATAGGTATAAGCTGTACAAACAGATCTAAACAAAAGTTCAGACAGTGGATTGAGAGTGAGTGACCTGCTGAACCACGAGATAAGTTAAACAACAGAATCATATGAGAACGATCATATCCTGAATGTGATTATACCCAGGACAAGACTCAAGCCCCTTTTCCACTTTCCATAAGGGAAAAGTTGTACCTGTACCCACTACTTTTTTCGTATCACCTCCATCGAGGTTCCAAGCGAGCTGAGTTGAGCTGAGACGATACTAAATGGTGACGTGAAAAGACTGCAGAGCGAATCATCACTATTCACTGCATCATCATTGCACCGGAGAGAGGCCAGCAACAGAAAGCTTTATATTTAACAATTTGCAAACGTTAATTCATCACTAAATCCAGCTCACAGACCGCTGCAGCAACAACGGCAGAGGAAAACACAGCTGGAAGGTTTTCATAGCACAGGTCTGGAAACAGTAGCAGTAGGTTTAGTCCAGCGTGCTGGACACAGGACTGTTGATGGTGACACAGCCATGGCCCTGAGAATGCTGCTGGTGGCCCTGAAAGCACAAGGGTCAATAGACTGTTATCATGTACAGTTTAATGAAAACTTTTTATTCAGGTTTCTGTTTATTAAATCAGATCCACCTACTTAGTTCAGAGTCAAATTTAGATGGAGACAGATTTAACATCTCTCTGTCCAGCTCCTCATCCTCCTCCATCACTAGGAGATGAAACAAAACAATGTTAATTTGTGTATGAGGTGCATTAAAATGTTTACATAGTTAGTTTTTGCATATTTTTGTGAACTGACCTAGAGTGCCGTGTTGTCACCGAGGCAGCCGATGTAGCGGTGACTGCAGCTGGTGTGGAGCGGACTCAGCCGTCTGCTGCCTGAGGATGTAGCTACTGCTGCAGGTTGTACATCTTGCTGTTTTTGATGCACTTCACTCCTTGATAAAGGCAGCATACCCATCAGCCCTGCTCTCCCAGATCTGCCTCCAGGTGTCCTTGGCCCTGGCTCCAAAGCCAACAATATTGTCACCCTCTGAGGCTACTGGTGGTGCAGGCTCCCTGGAGAAGAGGTACTCCCGCAGGTCCTCAATGTCCTTAAAGCTCCTGGCGTAGTCCAGAAATGACAGCAGGCTGTCCTTACTGTGTCCCTGGGGGTTGAAGATCCCATCTCTCTCCCCCTCTTCTACCTTTTTCATCAGGTAGAGGGTGTAGCCGACATCATTTTCTAGGAGCCACCTGAACGACTTCCCTTTGTACCTCCCGAACTGCAGAACATACTCCCCCATCACCTCCAGTCGGTCCGACACATCCCCTCCCCGCTGAAAGACCACAGTGAGAGCATCAGTCCTCAAAAGGTCATGTCTCTGAGTCACCCCCAGGACTTGTCCTGAAGCAAAGGATTTCTTTTAATCTTCATGGCCTCATCAGAGGGGTCCTGCCGCAGATGGCCTGATGGACCCTTCCTGAACGACACCGTCATGCTTCCTGGGAAGAAGATGCTGGTCTTCTTCATTATCTCCTGTGCACAGCAATGTATATTATTTATTATATAATAAATAACACTGAAATTAATCAGCATTTGTAATAGCTAGGTAAGAGTATTTGATATTACACAGACAGACAGAGTAGATAGATTTCTTAGTGTAACACCTATTGACAAAAATTACATTTCTTTTTTCATGGCAATCAAACAACTATCTTACATGTAGGCTATAAAATAGACATATGTTGTGGTATTCACAAATTCTAAATATTCAGAATGAGAATTGATAAACTTACATAATGATGGTACAAAAGGCCTGAGTCTTAATCATAGTTAAAGAAGGTCTTTAATTATGTATCTATAATGTCTATAAAAACACAATGAAGGAGTCAAAGAAAGCAGAAGATTGGATCAGTGTCAGCAAGAGAGATATTGAAAGATGGAAAAATAACTAATGTTAATGCTGACATACAGTTTATATAACTAACATTAATGTAAGTTCCTATCAAACTTAGCTGACAAAAAACCGAGTTAGAGCAATGACAACATTATTTAACATAAGCACACTAAAGTTAACTATTAATGTAATTGTTTGATCACAAACATCTTAGAAGCCTTAATGTATCTTACTTCATGAATAAAAACAGCTCAACTTACGTTTGATGACTTTAACTTTGTTTGCCGACAGAGCTCTAACTTAAGATGGAAAAGTACAGTAACTCTGTTTACCGCGGCTGCAGATGTCCGTCTGTCACTCAAACGTAAACACGGGGTCTCCTTACCTTTACACAATTGGGGAAACAGCGCCCCCACAGTCCCGCTTGTGGTCAAAAATATATTACATCCGTAGTGATAAGAACTACCATAGAGAATGAAGGGTAAAAGTTAAGAGAGTTAAGCTCTACCATTCCCGGTGAATGCAGATGTAGTGTAAAAGCGCTTTGAGTGGTCGAAAAGACTAGAAAGGCGCTATACAAGTACGGAGCATTTACATTCTTGAGAACAACAGGAAGATAAATGTACAGAATATATACAGTATGTAGTGTATCCATAACCATATATACAATTTTAGTGCTAAAACAATTAACTATCAATAGGATAGTATTAGTTATAATTATTTAAGTAATTTTCAAGCAAAATACCAAACAATCTCTGGCTTCAGCTTCTCAAATGTACAGACCGCTGATTTTCTGTGCTCTATCTCTTTTATTATAAACTGAAAATCTTTTGGTAACAGTATAGTAACAAATAAATGAAACAAATTGATCATCTATACAAATGAAATGAAAATTCAAGTAAGGATGTCCCGAGTTGATGTATAGGCTCCAGATCAGGGCCAGTGCATGTGCAGTGCAGGTATAGGCTATTCAGACTGATGTAAACAAAAGTTCAAACACTGACTGCACAGTTAAGAGAGAGTGACCCACTGAGCCACTTCCATAATTTCTTCCATAATTTAATTCAATAATATAATCTAATAAATATTTCAAGCAGTTTTTTCGTTTTAATCTTTATTTTTAGGGCTTACAGCTCATAGAATCAAAACTAGTATCCCAAATTTTTTTAGAATTTCAGAATAAATTTTTTGTTATACAGAAATGTCGACCTGGGAAGAGCTCTTATCAGCTAATTAATTAGCTCAAAACACCTGCAAAAGTTTCCTAAGAGTCTTAATCTCTCAGTCTGGTTCTGGTGCTCACAATTAACTTTTCCACCATATTGAAATTTGTTTTCAAATTTTTATTATACTAATGTAACAAAAGCAATAATAGGCTAATTTAATGACTATCACTGTCCAATCACATCACATGTCTGAATCTCATAAATACTTTTTTACTTTTATTGCACACATGAGACTAAAATTATTAGTGTCAACGAGTTGGCGTTTCAGTCGCAGTTTAAAAGTGCTGCTATAAGTTTTACAGGGCACCAGATGCAACTGTGTTTTCTCAGCTTAAAGCCCCAAAGCTTCATCACTACTACTCGCTAGCTAATGTTAGCTGATTTGACTGTGTTTGAGGGACTATTTTGTCCCACAGATGAGTCAGCTAGGGAAGGACTGACAGGCATCACAGCAAGGGACAACAGGTGGATTTACTTCAAACTTCTGAATAGAAGATGAGTAAAGGGAGCACAGATGCCAGAAGTAAATGTAAGAGAATAAGATATGCATTTAAAATGTTTGCATCTTTATGATGATATGATAGGTTTATGATCAGTAGGGTGAGTGAACAACAGTGGTGACCACAGAGGAAATGAAATTCGTAAAGTAAATTAGGGATGCAAACTAGTCCTTTTAATCTAATGGAGAGATGTTTTGTTTTTGATTTTAATGTGGAAATGAAATGCTTAATTATCCATAAATCACATAGAAAAAAGAGATTATTTCATTCAATAATTGTTTTATAATCGCACCACAGCCCTCTAAATCGTAATCAAATTGAATCGTAAGGTGTTCAGAGATTCCCACCTCCAATGATGATCAGAAACTGTTACAACATTTTTCTACCGTACCTTGGTTATACAGTAACATCAGATAAGTTACAGTTTGTCTCTTTTTAGTTGCCAAAAAACAGATTGTAGTTCTACAAGCCAATTATTTTCCAAAGCAAGATTCATCTTTTTCCCAGATAGTGTTTAGATTTGTAGGCATTCTATCGTCTCAAACAGCATGAAAAATAGTGCATTTTGCCGGCTTAATGGGAAAAAAATATCTCCGGGGGTGAGATCCCTCTAGGTTTGGGCTAAGGCCCGAATGTTTACAACGTCTGGCTCCGCCTCTGCAGCAGAGGTAGGGATATAGAAACCAGAAGGGGGGAAATCCCACGCATCCCCCCCTGCAAATCGCACCCTGGATACACACATAATTAAAACAACATAACTCGTTAAGAAGATTTGGTTGTTTAGTGTATGGTGAACTTATTAGCTGGTTTGATTGCTGAACTCATAATTCTTTTGAGTAAGCAGTGTGTTCGGGTTTACAGTGTAGGGGCAGCACAAATCAGACTGCGGCTGGCTTGACCATGGTTTCGCTCACGTTACCGCAGTCGTTTAGTTGGGAAACATTATGTTACTGTCAGTATTAGGCTGTTTTGTTACAGCATTTTATCACAGTGCAGAGCTTCAAACACAGCCACCTTTGTATATTTCAAAGAATAACAATTGAGTTACATTATATTTAAATAGATTGTAGTAAGTCTTTTGAAACTCTAGAGGGCAGGCAACAACTGACTACATTTTTAATACTGATTTACTGAAGTAATGGCAGTGAGGAAACCACTAACACACTTACAAATAATGTGTTCATCCGTCCTGGCTATTCTAACGTTTGCAAGTATATAGGGTTAGGGTCTGCTGTTTATTATTGTGTTCAAAAGCTCAGTTATACAAGAAGCCACAGAGCTGCACACAACCACTGTAGATGTCACTGTGAGAGAAATGGCTGTAAAAGCACTTGCCCCACTCTGTGGTTCTGTCACAACTTGCCTTAAACTGAAACAAAGAGTGAGGTTCACACACCATTAGGTGGATCATCTCTTGTTATGAGACTGAGTAGAACTTTCTCTGTAAGAAGTGTTAAAAAATGAGCTTAGTCTTTCTTGACCCCTCATATTTACTGATGGCTGCCAAAAAGACCAAATTAAACAAAGTGTGTATCAAATTTAAACATTCATCGTTGTTTTGATATTAACATATTTGTCATTCAATATATTAGTGTTGTATATAAAATCATACATTAAAAACAATGATAAAGTGATTACAAAATATAAAATATAAATACAAAATATAATACAAAACAAAATTAGCTTACATTAACCCTAAATATATTTTTGTTGTTTAGAATTACAAGTTAGGTTTTATTTTAGCCACTGCTGACGACATAGGTCCCCTGACTTTTCAGTGCAGGAAACAGTATTTGGTTTTTGTATTAGGGTTTGTCACTGTGATGGCTGGGTGGCACTGTGATATAGATCCATACAAAAACCTAAGAGTAATAATCTGACCCTCTGCCTTTCTTGTGATGGAAAAAAGGACAGGACAAAGTATTTTGCATTGGAATATGAGGTAACTACTTTATAATTTTTAAGAAGTAGATTTGTACTTAAATGTCAGTTAGTTAGTTGTACAAAGTCCCAGTTAATGTGCAGATGAAAATGTTATCTTCCGGTAAATCTTAACTTAAAGAACTGATTAAGAATCAACACAAAACACATAGATGACACCAGGATACAATGCTGACCAGGAATTCTGTGTATTTTATCAACTTAATGAGCTTTTAACACATTTTACTGGTACGTGAGGTTTTTGTACAAGCAGTGAGTGGAGATGCAGCACTGTGATTACTTCGACTACTGGGGTCGTGGGACTGAAGTCACAGTATCTACAGGTAAGACACATTTAAATTATATATTTACTGACTAGTTTCTTTTTCTTTTATTAATATAAATATTGCTGGTGAAGAGGTTTACATTATGGTCTTATTTCAGTTCATGCTCATGTTGGACAAACTAGAAAACAGAGCAGCCAGATGTTTTTAACGCAGCTGTTTCTTAGAAAGTGTTTGAAAAAGTTCTTGTTTGGCGTTATTGCTTAATGCAGGAGGTGGTTTGACTTGATCTTAAAATGGATTCAGCTGGATTGGAATTGCTGCTGATGAATGTCTGTATCTTTTTATTCACATTATTATTCAACACATTTTATTACTGTGAACAGTAATTATATACTGTACAGCACCATACCTGCATTTTGTTTTGTGAAAAGTTTCCCTTCATGTGAACACAGTAATACTGTGTTTAAATAGAGGGTCAGTATGTGTTTAAACTAAACACTTGAACACTTAACAAACACATAATGACGTAAATACTTTTATATAGTACACACACACACACACTGACCTTTAAAGCAATGTATGCATTTGTACTGCATATTGTATCGTTTCACATCAACTGATCTAACTCGTCCCCCCCAAAAAATGTATATATATATGTATATATCTGCTGATTTTGTAGTTACAGTCTTTATATGGTTGTAAAAATAACAAAGTATTAATATTATACCAAAATGTTTTGTATTAATTAAATGAATAAGACGTTATTAAAATCTGATTACAATATACAACAGTATATTATAATAATGAGCCGGTTTTTAAATATTTATTGAATAAATTCACCATTTCGTGTATGTATGTCACGCATATTGTTAGGAAAATTAAACATAGAATACTTTTGGTCTCCACATTTTAATTTTGAGGTAAAAACATTCAACCAATAATTACTATTTAGATGAGCAATTAATTATCTGTTATAACTGATGTGCTTTTGTATTTATATGATTTTGAACTTTAAAAAACTCCTATTTGAAAGGAAGTGCATGCAACTCTGTTCCTTTTAGTTCAGTGCAACTCTGGGACTGGAGAAAAAATAACAGACTTTCCAGTGGACTGATGCCACACAGCAAACATTAAATTAACAAGTGATTAATTATGTTTTACAAAAGAGTATTATATCTGCAGTACTACATATTAGTGCACTCAGAACTCAGATTCAGCCTGAATGAAAAAATACAACAATTTTTTATTAGGCAAATGTCTGTCTCATCAATCAAACTGGCAAAAGCAGATGATTTTCTTTTGCCATAATATAATTATATATTTACTATAATTATATATTTATTATTATAGAGGTATGATTGAGAAAAACATGCCATCACTGCTGGGAAAGGGTAAAGCCATATTTATGCAGCAACTTTTCAATATTAATGATACTGGTAGTGTTTATATTATTGTTATGGTTATAACATGGTTATAAAGAATTTAAAAAAAAACTATTTATTCTCTGTTTTAATATTTGCAGTTAGATTTTAGACAAGCTCTGTCTTCTTTAATTTACCTATAATGTTTTGACACTTTCTCAGGAACACCAACACCACCCACTCTGTTCCCTTTGGTTCAGTGCCAACCTGGGTCTGGAGATAAAATCACTGTTGGTTGTTTTGCACGCGACTTCTACCCAAAGAGTCTTACATTCCAGTGGACCGATGCCAGTGGGACCACCCTGACTTCTGAAAATTATCCTCTAGCTGAGAAAAACAACAAATATACAGGAATCAGTTTGGTCAAAGTATCAAAATCTGACTGGGATTCAAGGAAGTCTTTTAATTGTTCTGTAAATCACAACGGATCTCCCAAAAATCTGCAAGTGCAAAGTATGTGATTTTTCAATTCACTAATGTCTATGATTTCTTATCAATATGTCCTCCTCATTGATCCTGCTTTTATCAATGAATGTAGAACAATATTTATTCCCACACATTTTCATTTGTCTGCCTGAAACACACAGCACAATCATCTTATCAATTTGCAGGTGAATGATACCGAATCCTATTGCAATAAATGACTATAACTGCTTTTTCCTTCACCTGTTCAGAGCCTCCTCCAAAAGTGACTTTGCTATCAGTGCCAAGTGAAGACACCCAGACCCTGGTGTGCACGATTGAATGTGGTGATGGAAAACTTGACTCATTCAAGTGGAAAAAGAATGACGCAGAGTTGAACGACTACATTCAAAGTCCCATCCAAAAAACTGGAGGCTTATATTCAGCTGTCAGTGTCCTGAAGGTCAACAACGCAGACTGGGACAGTAACGCTGTGTATACCTGTGAGGTGACTTACAGAGAAACACAATATAAAAAGAAGGCCTCAAAAGGTGCAGTGCTTTCACAGTTATCACTAAATAGTGAGATAAAGTAGTTTATGCTGGATCTTGACATAAATAGCAAAGTTTCCAGTTTTTCTAATAGTACAAATGTTGTTCTCTTTTATGCAGCTCCTGTCACAGTGACACTGAAGCAACCCAGTGTAAAAACATTTATCAGCAACAACCGGGCAGAGTTGGAGTGTGTCATTACTGGACAGGACGAGACCACTGTAAATGAAATTCAAATCACTTGGCAAATTAATGAACAAGCTGTGACCAACAACATTGCTGAACCAACATTGTCCAGCGGCGTTCAGCACAGCAAAACCAGCACGATGACTCTTAGTCTGACTGAGTGGCAGAGAGTCAACAAAGTGCGCTGTTCTGCCATTAAAGACGATATGACTCCAGTTATTCAGGATCTGACTGTCCACAAAGGAGGTATGTTACTGAGTGATGGAGACTGATTGGTAGAACAGTAATCTGTAAGTCTGGGGAGGCAGCAACACATGTCATAATAGCAAACATAAAGCATATATATGAACCTTGTTGGCGTCTCTTTCAGATGGGAGTGAGCCAAAAGTGACAGTCTATGCCCTCCCAGAGGAGGACATCAGCAAAGGAGCTGTGGTCTCTCTGGTGTGTCTGGTCTCTGGTCCTGTGCTGCAGGATTACTACATCGCCTGGTCAGAAGGTTCTGGAAATAAGGCCGGCATCTATATGGATGGCATTAACTTCCCCCCACAGAAGACCCAGCAAGGCTACTTGGTTACAAGTATTTACACCACCACCAAGGAAAAGTGGGACAACCACAACATGTTCTACTGCAACGTCTGGCCTGCTGGTAGAAATGAGTCCATGAAACCCAAAGGAGTGTCTAAGGCCCATGGTGAATCACTTGAATGTAGAAAATAGTAGATCCAGATTTAAATGTGGTATTTTGTGCTAACATGTTGCTCTGTCTCTGTGAACCTGTACACTCAGTCTTTGTGATTGTAAAAATAGTTGTCAACATGTTAATTTAGTTTTGTTTGTCGTCATTTTGTGTTTCTGTCTTTGTCACATTGTCTAACAGCTTGAGAAGTGTGCTGACTGTTTCAAATAAATGTTGCATGGAGACACTTTTGTTACATGTTCATGAATTTTTTTTTTTAAACACACTGAAAAGAAAGCATAAAGTCACAGTAGCATACTGAACTGTTCTGGAGAAACATTCACACATGACGTGAATAGTGTTTGATTCCAGTTTCTGACAACTATTCAAAAGAGAAAAGGGTAGATGTCTTTTTTTTCTTTCTAATAGTGCCCATAAATGTGCTATCTTAACAAAAATGCTTTTCTTGACAACCCCCCCCCCCCCCCCCCACACACACACACACACACACACACACACACACACACACCTCATCTAACCACCTATACCTTCCTCTTCTTAGATTTTCCAGATTTAAAACAGAGTTGGGCTCTGAGCTGCATAGAGGATGCCAGTGAAGAGGATGAGTTCAGCAGTCTGTGGTCCACAACCTCCTCCTTCATATTCCTCTTCATATCCTCTCTCTTCTATAGCATGATATTCAGCCTGGTCAAGGTAAACATGTTGGCCTTTCCTACATTTCACTTATACTAACGACTAAAGAATACGTAAGATATAATACAGGATTTATATATTCACTAAAAAGAATTACACACTTTGACCAAGTACGGTACAAGTTATGTCATGTCAACCATAAAAATGCCACAAAAAGGAGACAATTTTGACATGACTTTGCCTAGTTTTTCTGTAGGTGTGACAGTTTCTTCCCATCTTCACAGACAAGAATGTGTAGGAGAAGAAAAGACCAAAAATATTAACGTGAAAGTTACAGTTACATTAATTTTCTGTCTGTTAGTGACAGACTGCCAACTTTTACAAGTTTGTCTACTTTGTGCAGTGCACATGATCCTGAAAAGGGAGACTCTGGTAATGCTTATCAATGAATCAATTCAGATGTATGCAATTGGTTGTCAGCAATACCTTAAATGTTAACTGCCTCCAAATATTTTTTTCCGACTAGTGAATTGCTCTATCTGGCCGTAACAAACCTCATGTTAAATGGGGAAAAAAATTACAGGTTTATTGTGTTGATTTTGATGTGGTGTGAAATGCATCCTTTTCAGTTTACAAGCTCTCTTTTGAAGAACTTATATATACATTTTTATCTTCAGACACCAGGACACTGAACTACATGTGATTTGTTACTTAAAAAGTAATTTGCAATGTTTAATTTAATAAACTGTTAATATATTACTTTGTGCAGTGTAGCATTTTAAACACGTGCTGGATGGCTGTGCCAAGGACCAATCATCCAACCAGAAATATAATTGTTGTAAAACAAAATTGATAAATCAAACCATATCACTGTTCAACAATTAGCATTTAACAAGTGTTTTAATTATTCTGATTTTTTTTTCAGGTGAAGAGAAGATGAACAATGATATGGATGCACAGCACAGACGACTACAGTTTTTCATTCAACAAATTTAGAAGAGTAACATTTTTGGTGTTAGTGAAATTTGATTAACAGCAGAGTTAATGATACCCTGGATAGAGTCAAATACATTATATTTGACATTCAGTTGAGAAGAAGTTGGTGTAAAAACATAGTGTAAAAAAACAAGTATCACTACATCAAACCTGTAAGTGTAATTGTGTAAATATTAACTCTGAAATTCTTACTCTTAACTCTGATCCTGGCTTTTACACTTTAAGTGTTCATGTCACACTTTGATATATACTATTGATATATTTCTACTGGCAGCTGGTTGTTTTGCAATGGTGGGCCATCACCACCATGGCTTATGTGGCCATACTAGTCACCCCAACACCAATTTAATGAGTTTGCAGTTAGCATGCATGCACCTGTTCATTCTGTTGCATGTTTTATTGTAATGTAATCAAATTCTTTGCAGTGCAAGTGTTAAAATAAATGTTTTAAAACACCAAACATGGCCATGTTTATTTTGCAAACTTTACTCTCCAAGTATTTTTTATAAAGAGCTATATTTACACCTTTAAAATGTTACGGGGCTAACACTTGTGTCATTAATAAATGATCCTCTGAGAGAGTTGATGTCTAACAGTACATACAAGTGTTAAGAAAAACTGTAACTGGTTGGTTTTAGGAAGTGTTAAATTTTAACTCCATAAAAGAGTAAAGAAATACACTAAATTAGTTTTAAAGTACCAACACTCCAATAAAAAGTTAAGTTAAATTAACACTATTTCATATGGACCCATAGACACTTTAAAAGTGTTATTTGAGTATGCTGATTTTACTGTACACATCTTTGCTTTTCATGTTGATTATTTTTGCGTTAAGTCAATAGATATATTTCCAAATACAATAGATTTACAATTACAATACAATTTGGATAGACACAAAAATATTAAAGGGAGTATGAATATGACTGATGGTGTGCTTGTGATAAACAAAGCTTTTGAGGATTTTATTTCAAACATCCAAAAAAACACCACGTCAAGTCAACATACTGTAAACATCTGTTATCAGTTAGAGTCTGATGGTTTTTCAATTTCCTGGAGTTTCTAAACATATCATCTTTAGAGAGTCACTTCCCCCTCTGTCTGCACCTCTGGGACTGCACCTGTAGCAGTGAAACTTTGTAGAAACTGTCAGAGCTACAAATAAACTTCTTCGAATCATCTTCAAGAGACTGTTTATTTGCATATCATCAGGCGTAAAGTGGCTCACAAAATCATCTGAAAAGTGTTATGGTTAGCATTTTTCACAAATGTGACATACAGTGATAAAGCAGGATAAATTATAAACAGAACTGTATAAGCTCATCAAACAATATAACAGTAAAAGCAGGACAAGCAGGGTACAGACTAAACAAAGCAAAAATCCCAGATTTTACTTTACTTTAAATTATTAAAAGTAAAAAATTCCCCTGTCACTGTTACTATTATATATTAAATAATTAGATAGTTTTTATTGATTATTATTCCTCCATCAATGTGAAAGCAGGATTTTACTGTTGTAGTGGTTTGAGGTTGAACTATTTTGTATCAGACTGCAATTAAAGATTATTTTTATTATGGATTAATCCGCTCATTATTTTACTACATTAATTGATTGTAAAAATTCTAAAAATAGTAAGAAACAACGTCATAATTGCCCAAAGCCCAAAGTGATGGCTTCACAATACTTGATTTATCAGTCTAAACCTCAAAGTGATTTAAAATACGTTAAAATAATCAAAAGAAAGAATAAAAGTAGAATGTAGCAGGAAAGAAAATACCGTCCACCACTGGTATAGATTAAACAAGGCAAAAATACCAAATATAGTACAATTATATTTGTGCTTACTGTACGTTGTTTGATTAGTGTTTCCCCTAGGAAGGAGTTGTAGCAGCGGAGGTGAAGTAAAATGCTCTTTAAAGTAGCCATTTTAACAAATGCAATTTTGAAAGGTCCACCTGTCCATCTGATTATTATATGGGTTACTTTGAATACATGTGAAATGAGCTTTCCACAGGGCTGATATATGACCTACTTCTTCTAAACTATCCAATACATGTACAGTATTTATTTATTTCATTCTTTATGGTTATTTGTTTGTTATAATTAAACTATTAGGTATTGCATTATTCAATGTTATATGCAGCCATTGTACAGTTATCGTGCTGCAATTGATTTATTCATCACTATAATTCACTCTGTGTATGTGTGTGTCTTTCTTGAGAATAATATCAAGCTACAGATGAACAAATACACATTGTGTCAGGTTGGTGTTGCGCCAAAGGGGGATTTTGGTTTTCATGCTTGCTGGTTACCAGAAGTCAGAAACGTGAGTGTAGACCACCATCTAGAGGCAAAAGGCTTAAGAAGGATTAAGAGCTCTGCCACTTGGTCTTGATGCAGTAAATTGAAAGGACATGTGACTGGAAATACAAAACACTCGTACGTGCGAAGATAAAGATATTGATTGACACTTGCTAGTAAAATCAGTAGTAAAACGCTACAACAAACAATAACCGTTATCTCATTTATTTCTTTATCCATCTCATCCAAGTCAAGCATAAAAGCTGTCCCAACATTCTTTGGAAAACACCAAAGTCCATCACAGACTGATACACACAATTAACTATCACAATCACTTTCTCTGTGGTGGAGTGTAATGTTTTGTCAGTTGATATCTATGTGCTGAATATAAATAAAAGTACTGTAGACGGTGTATTTCAGATATCCAATGAAACAGAGAGTCGGACACTACAGTGGGGGAAAAAAGTATTTGACCCCTTGCTGATTTTGCAGGTTTGCCCACTTACAAAGAATGCAACAATCTACAATTTTAATCATATGTACATTCTAACAGTGAAAGACAGAATCCCAAAGAAAATTCCAGAAAATCACATCATATAAATTTATAAAAATTGATAACCATCTGATGAGGACAAACAAGTATATGACCCCCTACCAAACAGCAAGTATTCTGGCTCCTACAAGCCAGTTAGTCTTTCTTTAAGACACAGCCCCAATCCCAACCAATTATCTACATCAAATACACCTGCCTCACCTCGTTACCTGTATAAAAGACACCTGTCAACACCCAACAACCAGCATCCAACATCACCACCATGGGCAAGACCAAAGAGCTTTCTACGGACATCAGGGACAAGATTGTTGATCTGCACAAGGCTGGGATGGGCTACAAGAGAATCGGAAAGCAACTTGGAGAGAAAAGATCAACTGTCGGTGCAGTTATCAGGAAATGGAAGAAGCACCACACCACCGCCAACCTCCCTCGGTCTGGGCCTCCACACAAGATCTCGCCTCGTGGGGTGTCCCTGATCATGCGAACGGTGAGGAATCATCCCAAAACCACAAGGGGGGAACTGATGAATCAACTGAAGGCAGCTGGGACCACAGTTACAAAAGAAGCGGTTGGTAACACACTACGCCGTCATGGATTGAAATCCTGCAGCGCACGCAAGGTCCCCCTGCTCAAGAAGAAACATGTACAGGCCCGCATGAAGTTCGCCATTCACCACCTGGACGACTCAGAAGAGGCCTGGAAGAAGGTGATGTGGTCAGATGAGACCAAAATAGAACTTTTTGGCCTCAACTCAACTCGTCGTGTTTGGAGGGCAAAGAACACCGAGTACAACCCAAAGAACACCATCCCCACCGTCAAGCATGGTGGTGGCAACATCATGCTTTGGGGTGCTTTTCAGCCAAGGGGACGGGACAACTCCATCGTATTGAGGGGAGGATGGACGGGGCCATGTATCGTGGAATTCTGGACCAACATCTCCTTCCCTCAGTGAGAGAGCTGAAGATGGGTCGAGGATGGGTGTCTCAGCACGACAACGACCCTAAGCACACCGCCAAAGCAACAAAAGAGTGGCTGAAGAAGAAGCACATCAAGGTTCTGGAGTGGCCTAGCCAGTCTCCAGACCTGAATCCAATTGAAAATCTTTGGAGGGAGCTTAAAATTCGAGTTGCCAGGCGACAACCTCGGAACCTGAATGATTTGGAGGCTGTCTGCAGGGAGGAGTGGGCCAACATCCCTGCCGAAATGTGCACAAACCTTGTCACCAACTATAAAAACCGTTTGACATCTGTGCTGGCCAATAATGGCTTTTCTACAAAATATTAACATGCTGTTTGTCCAGGGGGTCAAATACTTGTTTTTCCTCATCAGATGGTTATCAATTTTTATAAATTCATATGATGTGATTTTCTGGAATTTTCTTTGGGATTCTGTCTTTCACTGTTAGAATGTACATATGATTAAAATTATAGATCGTTGCATTCTTTGTAAGTGGGCAAACCTGCAAAATCAGCAAGGGGTCAAATACTTATTTCCCCCACTGTATATGTGTGGACACACATGACAACAAGGCCTTTTGAACCATAGTTCTGTATTCAGATGTGACCATGAGTAGTGGCATTTTCAGCTCGCATTGATGTGCCATCCTGAATGAAATAATCTCATTAAATACTCCTTTCTTTACATAGTTGAATGTGCTGACAACAAAATCACACAAAAATTATCAATGGAAATCAAATTTATCAACCCATGGAGGTCTGGATTTGGAGTCACACTCAAAATCAAAGTGGAAAACCACACTACAGGCCAATCCAATTTTGATGTAATGTCCTTAAAACAAGTCAAAATGAGGCTCAGTAATGTGTGTGGCCTCCACGTGCCTGTATGACCTCCCTACAACGCCTGGGCATGCTCCTGATGAGGTGGCGGATGGTCCCCTGAGGGATCTCCTCCCAGACCTGGAGTAAAGCATCCGCCAACTCCTGGACAATCTGTGGTGCAACGTGGCGTTGGTGGATGGAGCGAGACATGATGTCCCAGATGTGCTCAATTGGATTCAGGTCTGGGTCTGTCTCCTGGTAGCGCCTCCATGCTCTGGACACTACGCTGACAGACACAGCAAACCTTCTTGCCACAGCTCGCATTGATGTGCCATCCTGGATGAGCTGCACTACCTGAGCCACTTGTGTGGGTTGCAGACTTTGTCTCATGCTACCACTAGAGTGAAAGCACCACCAGCATTCAAAAGTGACCAAAACATCAGCCAGGAAGCATAGGAACTGAGAAGTGGTCTGTGGTCACCACCTGCAGAACCACTCCTTTATTGGGGGTGTCTTACTAATTTCCTATAATTTCCACCTGTTGTCTATTCCATTTGAACAACAGCATGTGAAACTGATTGTCAATCAGTGTTGCTTCCTATGTGGACAGTTTGATTTCACAGGAATGTGATTGACTTGGAGTTACATTGTGTTGTTTAAGTGTTCCCTTTATTTTTTTGAGCAGTGTACATTAGGGAAGCAGCTGGTAACAAGAAACCAAAGCACTGCCTTCTAGGTGCATTTTGCAAGTGAAGGCGAGCTTAAAGATAAAGTATACAAATTGAAAATTTTGCCTGTGCTGCTATCTACAGGCTTCAACATGCACTGCC